GCATTCAGGCACAGAACGATCATGCCCTTCTGGTTCGTCACATGCAGTTTGCGATACAGCATCTTCGCCAATTAGGATGGTTAATCAATCTGCAGAAATCGGAACTAGTCCCAACGCCGACTTCCCTTCATCGGAGCTGTTTTCGACACACAGGTCAACAGAATGTTTGTCCTGAGGGATCGTTTCTGCAGATACAGCGGTTGGTCTCCCTAGCTCTAGCACAAGCCAGGACGCTCAGTCAGTGGCAGGAACTCCTAGGCCTCTTGACGTTGGCTCAGGCGTTGACCCTCAGGGGTCAACTACAACTTCGTTCGTTACAGCTATTTCCTAGCACCTTACATCAGAGTGGGGAATCCCGGTGCTTTGATCACTCTACCTCTGGAGCTTCGTCCTTATCTACAGTGGTGGATGATAGAATTGAATGTCTGCAACGGAGTCTGTTTAGAGCCGTTTGTTCCATCTCACCACCTGTATGTGGATGCGTCGGAACACGGGTGGGGAGCTCACCTTCTCAATCTACAAGTGGCAGGGCTGTGGTCTTCCGAAGATCACGCTTCTCACATCAATATTCTAGAGTTCAGGGCAGTGATTCTAGCAATCAGTCACTGGCAGGATGTTCTACAATCAACCTCTCTCATGGTCAGATCAGACAACGCAGCGGTGGTGTGGCATATCAACAGAATGGGGTCAACAGGGTCTCGACGGCTTCTACAGTGGACACACCGATTCTTCAACCTGGTGGATTCTCTCAAAATCTTGGTGCAGGCCAACCACATTCCGGGGGTGAAGAATGTCATCGCAGATGCTCTGTCTCGACAGTTGTCCCTCTCCAACGGAATGGAAATTACATCCCCAGGTGTTTCAGACTCTTTGCCTTCCAAAGTAGATCTCTTCGCCACGGGTTCAATCATCAGCTACCTCGGTTTGTGTCACCAATACCGGACCTTCTAGCTTGGGACCTGGATGCTCTGGCCATTCCGTGGGAAGATCTGCACGCTTACGCGTTTCCGCCAGTGGCCCTTCTTCCTCGCATTCTGGTGAAATTGCGTGCAACTCGAAGGATAACTCTGCTTTTGGTCGCGCCCTACTGGCCGGCCAGAAGTTGGTTCGTAAATCTTCAAGACTTAGCCGAACCAGATCCCGTGCCGCTCCCCAATCGACCCGATCTATTGGTTCATCAACACTCCGATCAACTCCATTGGTCTCCGCTGACGCATCTACATCAATCATTAACGGCTAAGGGTTATTCTTTACGTGTTGCCACTGCCATCACTACAGCTCATCGTTCTTCTACCAGGTCACTCTACGATGACAAGTGGAAAAGTTTTGAAGCTTATTGCAGGAAGAAGGGCATCTTGTCTCCTACTACGGCATCCCCGCAGATGGTGGCAGAATATCTTCAACATCTCCGGACCTCCAGGAAACTTAAAGGATCAACTTTATCTACCTATCTGGCTGCTCTTAACACAGTTATTGCTACAGCCTCGGGTGTGAAGATTTCCACTGTTCCTGAACTCCAATCTCTCCTAAGGTCTTTCAAATTGGCTGATCAATCCCAGAAGTTCCGGCCTCCAGCTTGGGATCTCTCTGTTGTACTTGCTCATCTCAGTTCGGCTGAATATGAACCTTTGAAGGATAAAGACTTTGAACATATCTCCTTCAAGACCTTCTTTCTCTTGGCCTTGGCTACAGCGGCCCGTATCTCTGAGTTTCATGCTCTGGATGTGTCTCGAGTACGATTTGAAAAGACTAGACATGCGAAAGTTTTCCTTGGTCTGCGGTGGGATTTCCTGGCCAAGAATCAGTTACCAGGACAACTGGATCGCATCTTTACGATTCCACCATTGTCTACCATCTTGGGACCAGAAGACACGGAAGATCTTTCCTTATGCCCAGTTCGAGCATTGAGGATTTATCTAGCTGCCTCGCAGGATTGTTGAAGACTACCTAAGAGACTGTTCATCCCTATATCTACTGCCTCAACTTCAGAAGTCTCCCGTACTACCTTGGCTTTTTGGATGAGAACTACGATCCTGCGTGCCTATACCTTTGCTAACCTACCTCCGCCAGCTGTGGCCAAGCCTCATGAGACCCGAGCTCTTGCGTCAACCATGGCTCTTCACAGGAACTGTTCCCTTCAGTCCATCATGGAGGGCTGTTTTTGGAGATCGGATACTGTGTTCTCATCACACTACCTACGGGACCTCTCACTGACAGATGTGGAAGGACTACATCAATTCGGCCCCTTGGTTCTGGCACAGCAACTGTCTTCGGCCCGTGCTCGCAGATAAAGCAATCCTTCTTCGTTCGGTTCTGCTCTGTACATAATAAAAGATATCGATGTTATCCATATCTTGGTACTTTTTGACCTGGGTCTAGACCCTTCTCACCTAGAGAACTAGGACGTGTTGGTACTGTCACACCATGGCGAGAAGACTATGAGGCAAGTCCTGTACTACATGTAGAGAAGGTCGACATTCCGCTTACTTACCTCTATACT